TACCCAGAAGAGCCCATGATGTTAGATGAGGCAGAAAACTGCACTCGCAAAGACTCCAAACGTTCCTGACGCTCCTATAATGACGGAAAGAAAAATGATATCAAGAAGACAGAAGTAGGTTGGGCATAACACAAAACAAACAAAAAGGCACCTTTTCTATCGCAATTTTCCTTTTGTTTCCTCTCCTAATTCAGCATCATCAAGGATCCTCCTAATCTTCTTTTGCGCTTTCGCTTAGAACTGGTTTCCAAAAATTTAAAAAAAAAAAAAGGACATTTCATAATAATAATAATAAATATCTCAATTCATCAGGGGCTTTTAATGAAGCAAACGCACGAATAAACAAGATTAGCCAAATAAAGGGAGGGAAATCAACGACCAAGAAAAGTTTTGTCAATAAATATTTCAAATTGATACATACACTCTTAAATAAATGGATTTCAGAAAGAACGAACATAAACTTGTCAAAAACTTGTCAAAAAAAATGTACACAGGCAAAAGCATTAATTGCTAAGACCTCAACTTGTGTAACTTAAAAGCCTTGATGGCCAGAAAATCTACGCCTTATGTGCCTGTCAAATAGAAAAGTAAATAATAGAACATAGACCAAGCCAATGATGCATTGAACAATTCTATTTTAAATAAAAATAATACGGTAAAGGCAATCATGTTGAATTCACATTCAAAATCAGCATCCTCAGGAAGAGGAAAGACATTAATACAAGTTGTGCTCCTGATTGCAAATAAGATTGGGAAAATTCAAGAAATCACTTATATAGCAATTGAAATGAGATGAGATGAAGCTTACATGGTATCCACAAATTAACAATTAAAATTATAGGATCAATGCACCTGATTGTAACATTAGTCTCTGCATGTGAATTATCCGAATCACTACTAGAGCTGGAAACTGATGTTTCAACAGATCCCATAGCTTTCTCTAGTTGTGATGATAGTCTTTGCAAGAGATTTGGGTGGCAGCAATAACAATGCAACCAGTGGCCTGAACTTCAGAAAGGAATTCTGCACCAAGATTCTTCCTTATGCAATTGTTGCAGAACAACACTTTGCATGACTTGCAGCAACTAATAATTCATTGCTTCCCCCACACCATGCACAATAACACTCGGAGCAATCAGGATTGAGATCCTGAGACAACACATTGGCTCAATAAATTTTCCAATTAGAAGGCAACAGGCAATAAATGAGACATTTGCGGCATTTCCAAATACAGTACGTTAAACTATACATAGCAGGCCAGCATAAAGCCAAATTTAAAGGCTTTTTGTAGAACTCTCCAATTCAAAAAATTTTCATCATCTATAATTCTAATTCTAATTGTTCTGGAAATTTTCCTCCCCCCCCCCAAAAAAAATAATTATAGAAATTATAATGTCGTGAGCTTCAAATTCTCTAGTCTTTATTGATTCTGATTCTCTCCCCTCTGGTCACGGTATGAGAGCTTACACACATGACCCTTCTAGTAATTTTACAAAAATCATTTTTATTTCCTTACTCATTCTCCTACAAGGGAAGGATTTTTCTTGAGAAGTCAACTTGGAGATTCAAAGACCCTTCTGTGGTGAAATCCAACATTTGGAAAACAATACTAGATAAGATAAACATAAATGACATGCTGCAGGTCTGATGGCCGCTTTGGACTCTTTCCCTCAGTATAAGTGCAATGAATAGATCTGAACCAGAACATTTGCGCTCCCTTATTCCTTCACCGTCCATGCCAAATAAGGACAGCCCAGGTTTGACAACTGAATCATGTGAAGATCCCATCAATAGAAGGGATCTAAACCAGATATATCCTTATATTTTCAAGGATATGCCTTTATATTTAATATTTCATGGGGGTAGAGGTGTTTATATGGCTGGCCTTTGATGCTTGGCTCACAGGCACTTGAAGGGAGTCTACAATTCTAACATCCGAAGCCACTGGATAGCTCCACTACGTTAGTTTTAAGCTTATTAGAATTTTTTTAATACCATTCATTTTTTTTGTATTCATTGATTTATTTCATTTTGAGGGTTTTTCACGCTTAACACTTCATATTTTCCCCTCTTCCGAAGAAAATTTCTGTTTTACCCCAAAAGAAGACAATTAAACATATCAGGGAGGTCGATAAATCAAAAACTTGTAATCAAACTTCTAAAACAAATAGCTATATTTACTAATATTCTAAATCTGAAACGTGCACTGAATAACACATTTTAAGGAAAATTCACTTGAAAACACTATTGGTTTTCCATCCATACCTTCACACGTTTCTTTTCTTCCATTAAAGAATTGCAATCCCAGCAAATAATAACTTCCAAAAGAGGATGTTGGTGAACTTCAAGAGCCACTTTATCACAAACAGTGCAGCAAAACTTCTTGTCCAGGTGCTGTGAAGGAAGACTATCAGCAATGCTAGCACAAGTGCCTTGCATCTCAGACTGATTATCTAATGCATTTGTATCCCTAACTATATTATTTTCAACTGCATCAGCTTCATCACCACTGTTAATAGTGACAGTCCGACCCTTTTTCGTATCACTATACTCTTCACCATCATTTAGTCGCTTGGTACCTCTTTGTTCAACATCAGGCAATGAAGATTTAGAGAGCTCTGACAAAGGGCCAATATTCATAGGCTTCACTTTGTCAAGGTCATAAATGCCACCCAGATCTTCAATATTATCATTCTTCATATTCAGACATTCAACTTCATTGTTAGCCACCTTTTCACTATCATCACAAGTTTCTTCCTTGAGACTCTCTATGGTTTCCCTCTGAAATAAATTCAGAATCAGAGATAGGATATAATAACAAAGTGCAAAAATAAGATTAATTCAATCACAGATAGGTCACATGGTTACTCAATACCACATTATAGATTAACGGGTCTTAAAAACCCTATCACAACATCACTGGTCTGAAATTTTGAATAAACCCTATTTGAGTTGAGTGAAATGAGATATTAATAAGCACCAATTACAATATATCCTTTTCGTAAAATTAAATTAAATATTTAAAAAATAACAGTATCCCTCAATAGATATGAAAATATCATCCAATTTACGGGTCAACCAGACACAAAATGGGAAATCATGGTTATAAAATTCACCTGTTTTTTATTCTTCCGATACCTCCTTCGTTTTAAATGGATTTGAAGCTTCCGATCAACAATTACATCATCTTCTTCTTTGACCTATCAAATTCATGAGAATTGCATAATCAGATCCCTGATGAAAGGTAAAAATTGCTGAAATGAGATACTAGTAAATACAAAGAACCGAAATATCATGTCAGTAATAAGAAGGAAGGTAAAGGGGCATATGTTGGCATGATTATAGCAAATGGAGGCAGGGCCAATACCTCTAGCCGATCAAATATATATTTTGCTTAAAATAAAATGAGACAATGCTAAGAAAAATGAAAAAGGAGTTAAACTACAGTGTGCCACTAAAAAGAAAATAAATCCACAAATTAAATACCTTGCACGGTATAAACTGAGACAAAACAAAAATGGCATTCAATTGCATTGATTAGTTCATTCATGACAGTGATAATTAAAAAGAAAAACCACCAACATATTTTCCAGGCATTTCAATAAGTAGCATGTTCCATTTAAAATAATTAGCATCCCAGGTAAAATCATGTCCAAGAGTTTAAACAATAACCTTTACAAATCATAGGCCGCAAAACATCTCTAACCAACATGATAACAGTCAATCGTGAGCATTGTAATTTTCCTACTACTAGTACATCAACAAAACGTAACAACTGGTGCCCGCTAATCTACTACAGCTTTTTAACAAATGGACAACAGCATGTTGGCTCAAAATCCACAGGACAAGTAACATCTTCCACTGATCCCCCCATCTACTCTCCATTCTTTGTAATTATTGGATATAAAACAATTGTCAGACGCAAGTAACGTACCAAATCAAACTATTAAAGAAGCTTTAACAATGCTCCCATAAAATAAATCTATAGGTGTGATAAAACCCAATTTTTATATATTTTATCCCACATTAATTCAGAATTTAAATGATAATTTTGAGCTTAATTAGATTTTTTATGCATTATTGGATAAATTGGTTGATTTTTGGATTTTGCATAAAAATTGAGATTTTGGATTAAAAATATAAATATTTTGTGATTTCCTATTTTGACTTGGAATTAATTTTTCCTATTTCTTTAAAAACAAGTCTCATATTTTTAGAAAGATTATTTTTAGAAAGTTTTGCACTTTCTTGCCTAATTTTTGTGCAGATTTAATATTTAATTTTTAATTATATTTGGATATAATCTACATTAATAGATGCACTTAAATTCTTGTAGGTCAAGAATTTGTATATGGGAAATCCAATGGTGTAAGATTGTTTCTTGGAATCTAAACACAATCCAATGGCTAATATCAAAGCAAGGATTCCACGCCCAGTATCCGAAGAGAGAGATCACGTTGAGAGGCGGTCAAAGAATTTTATTCACTTCTTCATTATACTTGTGCAGTGCCCATATATTCCGAGGATTCACGTCACGTGGAGGGGAGGATTGAAACAATTATTTCACTCTCACACTCATCTTTTCGCTTGCGCAAGGACCCACTCCGTCTCCACATAATCATCCTCTTTCTCTTCTTTACTCCTCATGGCTGCGGCATCTAATGACTTTGGAGGGAAGATAATTTTCATGGAGGCTTAAGCTTGTTAGGGAGGCAACTTGGGAGGAGCTTGAAGGAGACTAGAGCCTTGAGCTAGCATTTGAAGACCACAAGGGAGTGATATTCCATTTATCTTTTTAATTCAAGGACTTGAATTTGTTTAGTTTTAAATGGGTTCAAGTTGTAATTTTGTTGAGACAGTTTAGTTCTAGATTGTCAATTTTATTCTTGGATTAAATTGATATTTGGATCTTATTTGTGCCAAGATACTTGTTGGAATATATGTTTGGAACCTTTGCATTGTTAATTGAATTTATAATTGAGTTTTCATTATGAGTTTAATTATCAATGTGGTTTGAATTGCAAAATTTGGGTTCTTTTGCCTCTTAATTGTTTAATTGAGTTGGTTAATTGTCTAATTGTTTAATTAGATAATTTCAAACATAATTTCCAGAATTAATTGGGTTATTTTTCATTGGTTTTAATAAGATTAATTAACCAATCTTATACTGTTATGAGTTCTCTAATAGTTAAGGGCTTTTGAAATTGAGGGTTCCCTTTGTTTCAAGTAGGTAATTAAGTTTATTAATTCCACTCTCTTATCACTTCCCTTTGGTCTAATTAACTGATTAAGGTTATGAAGGTTAAATCCATACAAATCCTAAGTTGTCCCCTCTACCTTACCTGAAGAGAACTTCTTAATTTTCACTTCTTAATTCTCTTTGCTTTCTGATTAATTTTCTTTATTCATTATTTTTATTTTCCTTCAAAAAACCCCCCTAAAAATTGCATTGCATTAATTTGGTTTAATTTAATTTTCATATAGATTTTAGGACATTTGCATCTTGCATTTAGAATTAGAATTTTGCATTTTAGTTTAGGTCCATTTTATTACATTTTTTTTTATCACCTAAATTTTCACCTAAAGAAACCCACAACTTGCTCATTGGAAGTAATGACCTAGGTCGACCCTAAACTACAAATTAATTGGGACCTAGTTTAATTGAGTGCTTTAACGACAGAAGCATCATCAAGGTGATATAAAGGATTATGGTAATTGATAGCCCAAACAATGACAAACCTTTTTAAACTTTCTCTTCTGTTCATCAGAAAGTTCTAGTTCCTTTTCATTTGCAATTGCAGCTGCAATAAATGGATCAGTAGAAGTGCCATCAATGTCATCAATCTCCTCCACCTGATAAAATGTATTTCCAAGGAGAAGATAATTAAGCAGGAAACTAAGGAATAATAGAACATGAGCACGACTTATTGTGGCACTCTAGCAAAAGAAATTGCCAAGGATAACAGCTGAGATAATGCATTGAAACACATTAAAGACCAGGTGCTAGGTTTGGATTGGACCTAAACAAGCTCAAGAATCCTTTCAAGGCAGATAGTCTCACATTAAGTAGTATGAGACGCTCTATGGGCCAATTGATTAAGTGGAAAGGTTCTCCCACTTCAATAGAAAGCTTTTGGGGGAGGTTTCCCATCCCATCGAGTACCCATCAGAGCACAAGTCTGTTTCCTTTATATTGTCCGTCAATGTAATATTGCTTCCATTTAAGAACAAGTTCAAAGAAGAATTAACCGGATTTCTACATTATTTTTGTAAACACTAACCCTTCTTGATAAAATTCAACCATATAAAACTGACATAGGAAGGCAAAAGACATCTGAAACACATATCTGTCACCTCGTTGACACCAGGAAATTCAAGGCCCATCAGTGCAGCTTGTTGCGGAGTGCTGGCCAAATAAACAGAAGCCCAATTCTTACAGCCAAATGAAGCATCAGCATCACCACCATCGTGAAATATTTTGTTAAACATACCCCAATCCACATCAGTTTTTTCCTTTACCGGTTCAATGGATTCATCAAGTTTTTTTTTAAGAAATCCACTGGCACCCTCTTCCAACAGTTTGCCATGTCGTCTGGAAAAGCACCAAACATAAGTAAAAGATTATGGCTAAATACTGCCATCCCCAAAGATAAAAAATTCCACACAGAAATCATACCTTCTAACAGGTCTGTAGACTTCTAGATGCTTCTCAGCATCAGCAACTGACTCAGCAAATTCTTCAGTTGCCTGAGTACCTACCCAATGATTCCTCTTTTTCCAAGCTTCTGTCAAACAACCACTGGGAGCCTCCCTCTCTATCCACTTATAAAGCCTTGGCAGCTCCACACCAGCCATATCAAGTTGTTCCTACTCAAAAAGATATGGATGTACAGAGAAGCAAAATAAGCATGCTTTTGAAAAGAACTATGAAAGCTCCAACTAAAGTATCACACGCATAAACCATACAAAATTCAGACACCTCACAATATCAAGTTGCACGGAGAGGGGGGAGAGAGAGAGAGAGAGAGAGAGGAGAGAGAAGGAGAGAGAAGGGGACCAATAATAAACCAAAACATGCACTGTAACTGAAGGGAGGAGCACCTCCTTTACGGAACCTCCATATAGTTGTATTTTCCCTAAGAATTTTCTTCTTTTATAAATAAGATGGATAAGATAGAAGCAAACCAGCAAATAGGCACTTTCAGTCTCAAGGTCATCCAGAACAGCTTCCCACTCTTCTTTGAGAGTAGTCATCTCATCTGCAACAGCAGATTCCAACTACAAGAAAGTGAAAACACACAAATCAGAAGTAAAAACAGTAAGGACCACAAAATGATAGATAAGAGGAGAAACTAACATCATCTCCTTGAAGAGTTTGCTCCAACTCTCGCCTAACCTCAATCTCTACTTTGTTAAGAGACTCCTCCTCAAGAGCTTCTTGAGCCTCTGCAGCCTAAAATAAATATTAGAGAAACCGAAAAAGATAAAAGAAAAAATGTCACACATTTCCTAGCACAAAAGCACTACTGCTGTTTGAATTATGTTTTTCCTAACAGCTATTTCTTCTTACGTAGTCAAGCTGCAAGAAATTTATGATGCACAATCAGCATTCCCATCTAGCCAATTAACAATGATTCCTTCCATGTCACTTCATAAGCGTAACATGTGCAAAGAGAATTAGAGAGCATTGCACATGGTATTGTGAAAAGCATGCAATTATTTACACTAACAGTTAGATAGAAATGCCTGCATTTAAGGGTGAATATTTTCTTCCACTTCTTTTATGCTGTATAAGGACTTTCTTTGGCATATTTATGGACTTCAGCTGGGTGGTAGAATAATAAATAATCGTACCTTGCTCTCAACTTCTAACAACTCAGCAATCAGACCTTCTATTTCTTCCTCAGTCAAAGGTTCCTGCATAAATAACATAAACCTTCATATGGCTTCGAAGCATTAACATCAGGGAAGCAGAGTTTCAGCTGGGGATATAAAAGAGAGAACATCTTGTATTGTCAAAAAAGTTGAGACACAAAAGTAAGTGAAAAAGAAAAAATCAACATGATTCACCTCGAGATGTGCCCTGCCATCTAATTCAGAAGTTGAAGACCCATCATCTGAATCATCAATAAGTGAACCACCAGAAGCACTTCCAATATCTTCCACTTCCTCAGTCTTTCCCTCCATCTGTAACTTAGACGAACATTGGTATGAACTCAATCTCCTTTCCTGTGTACCAAAAAAAGAACTCAAAATCTTACCAGCATGCACACTAAACTGGATCAACTATGTATATATACTGTGCAACATTCTCCCCCGGGGGGGGGGGGAGACAAAGGGGCTTACGATAATAGTTTCTCTTTCGCAAATCATTAAGTCAGTTCTATGTAGCTGATGAGTTTTGAGATCACAATCTTACTAACTGTCCCTGTTCTTATGAAGGCAAGATTCTGCTAACTTCGATAGGAAAAACAAAGCTAAAAGATACCCACAAAGAGTCGAATCTAGTCATTTCAGACGACTGACTAAACAAACTTAAAAGTAGCCGGAATGAAAGAGGGAAAGAAGCGGGTATCTCTCCATTATCTAAATGTTTCAACAAATTGGAGATCATGTCATTAACTTACCTCGCCTGGAGTTTCAAGGAGTGGCTGCAAGTCTGTTGCATTAACAATCAGCTCTGGGACATGATTTTCCAGAGGAGCATACCCAAGATGTAGACAATTTTGGTAATTGCAATTATTAGAGTGTTGTCATGGCCGTGAGCATTTGAACGTAAGTAATAAAAATAAGCATGGGATCTAAGAAAACTTGAACACTCATATTTGACTAAAAATAAGCATGGGATTTAAGAAAACTTGAACACTCATAAAAATAGCATATGAAATTTGAAATATCCAGCATTTTATGCCATTCCTTCAGCTAATAGATTTCTGTCCAGAAGTAAGAATACGTGCAGTATAGATGATCACATTGCCTGTGTGTATCACAAGCAACATCTGAGACTAGCATAAGCGAGCCCAAAGAGATAGGCGAAACAGACGTCACATCTACCGTGACAGGGACCTAGTCCCAGAGAGAACTTCCAAACCAGCGACGTTTTGATCAAACTAGGGCATTGAAAATGTAAAAACCAATGCAAATATCGAAGCGTAATACCTTAAAGGCTCAACCAGAACCCGATTAGGATGAATTAACAGTGTTGGCTCATGGACATTCGTTGGGTGGCGTAGTGTCCGAACCGAGCAAAATCGCTGCGACCTGTGAGTAAAATAGGCTGGGAGCCAGACGAGTGCTCCGCTTGCTTGGCCTCGTGATTCTCTTCTCTTCCCGGGGAGAAATCAACCGTCCGTACGCGGCTAAATTAGGTTTTTTCAAAATTGAACTAGATAGACTAGACTCAGATACCTATTTTAAAAAATTACGGATATCATCCCTCTGTTTCTTCATTTCTTTTTCTTTAAAAAAATTGCATCCTGTATGTAGAAACCTTTGACCTAAAATATGATTTATGAATAATGTGATGCTTTTATAATATTTATATATATATATATATGGGCGAATACACAAATTTACCTATTATAATATCAAAAAGAACATCAAACACCATAATAAAATATTGGGCGTAAAAATACACATTGAAATTTCAAAACAGGACAAAAATGCATATTCATTAACTTTCCCAAATGTCAATTACTTTTTTTTTTTTGCAAGCTCCATTTATTCTAAGTGTTATCCTCTGGAGTGTCATACTCTCTCTTCTCTATTGATCCTCTTCTTATCTCTCTCCCCTCTCGATTCTTTTGGCATTCTTGATATCTAGTAGTTACTTTGGGATCAAACTTACGACCAGGTTTGAGAGAGAGATAAGATGAGGATGTGGTTATAAATTTTTCCGAGTAATAGAGGAGGAAGGGGGCTCTCAAAAGTCTTTCAAATACTTTCCATTCAGTTCATGGGTCTCTCTCGTCTTACATTTTCTTTTTTTTTTATTTTTAACTTTGACCCGTTCTCTTTTTCATGCTTGTATTGAATTTTGAATTTCTACATGCAGCTCAAATTTTACACAACACATTATTGGAGGCTAAGAGATATAGTTTTAGTATTAAACAAGATTCATGTATAATTAGATATATGTACACAAGATTTGATTTGAGTGAGTGAGGGAGGAAGGGGGTGTCTAAAAGAGAGCATATACAGAGACATGATTAAGCGTAAGAAGGGAGATATGAAAGATAGGAAAGGGCAGGCAAGGGAGTTAGACAGGAGAAGTGAGGGGGGTGTCGACATTTGTGGGAGCTAACGACGTGGCCCCGACCAAAATGTCTAGTGGGGGAGGGGGGAGAGAGAGCATGGGACTATCACATTTGTCGAAGACGATGAAGCAATAGGTTTAGTTATACATAAACATATATATATGACCATGCAAAAATGGAAGTCAGAAACAAAAGAGATGAAAATTAAATGGAAAAAGCAAATACCTGGTTTGTTTTTCTAGCAAAGTTTAATCTCAGAGTTATGGTGCAGGAAATGATACACAAATTCTCGATATTGCAATGTGAAAGTGTGCAAACATAGAAAGTTGACCAAAAAGGGAACTTGCTTGGCATATTTATGTATAATGCTAAAGGATGCGACTTTGATTTGTGAGAGGAGTTCATGAATATGCGCAAATGTAAAAATTGTATGTTTGTAAAGTCATTTAAATGACGACAGCAGTGAAACAAATGAAATAGGAGGGTAGAGCAAGAAGGGTGAGAGGGAGAGAGGAGAAAGAGAATAAGGGAGAGGGAGAGAGGATTAATAGAAGAAAGAGATTGCATGGAGCTCTAAAAGATAACACTTGGAATAAATAGGACCCATTAAAAAAAATATGAGTAGACACTAGGGCTGAGCAAAGTGCCCGTAACCCGATGAACCTACTCAGGCCTAAGAAAAATTTGCCCATGTGGGCTTGCTAAAAAAAAAAAAACCCATACCGGAGGGCTACGAGCACATCCCAAGCTGCCCATGCCTACCCTTAATATATTTTAAATTTTTTTAATATATAACGTTATGATAATATGTTATTTTTCAGCATAGGTTCAACTTATAACTTTAGGCGCTGTGGTTAAGGGCTTGTTTTTTCAAATATCAAGTCCTTGGTTCAATTCTCATCGTGACCTCACCTGAAACTCATCTTCATTTAACAATTTTTATATCATTTTTTCAACATTCATTATATGAAAAATTTCAAAACCCATTATAATTTATAGTTTTACACATTCTAGATAGTCAAAGGTGCCAAACGTAGAAACCCCACGGTCTTCGCGTAACCGAAATCCATCATGACAATGGCACCACCTTCTATGGCGACTAGCATTTGCTCGCTGCTCACCTCATCCTCCCTTTGTGCCTCTGCCTTTAGTTCTTCTTCGGTCGCAAGTCTCGCAATCAAGTCTTTGGATCCGTTCTCCCTCTACGGCTTGTGTCTCTGCCCGTTGCTTCAAATTTCATTGTCCCTCATGCTTTGTGAGACTTTCTACTCCCTCCACTGTTTGCCCATCTTATTGTCCCAAACTCTTACTCTCACGTTGCCTCGCCATGAACGCATGCCCTCTATGGCAACGCCACGACAGAAGCACCAGCCATCAGATCTATCATCCTTGCCATCGCCTTTGGTGTTCTTCCTCAGTTGTTGTTGCCAGCATTATCGAGCTTCAGCCGCCGCCTCGATTTGGTTGTTTTTGTTTGTTTATTTGGGTTAGATTTATGTATGCATTACTACAAAAAAGATATTTAATGGCAGTTAAAATGAGTTTTTCATGACGGTTTTAAGAGCAACATTTATGCTATCGACGTAAAATATAAATGTTGAAGAACCACCGTGATATGTGATTTTTCACAACGGTTATTTAAAAAGTTTTTTTTTTTTAAGTTTACTTTCATCCTATTAATCAGGATGGAACGGAAGAACAAGGTCCTAAAGGAAGGGGTTTGAGAATCAATTAACTAATAACCCCTTACTAGTTAAAAGCATTCTGATGAAGCAAACATACATTCTTTTTTGCTATAATAGTGCTATTTTACTTCGCCTTATACCACCAGATCAAAGCTATTAAGATTTAATAGAAGTAAAATAAAAAACTCATATCTGATAAAATTCACGAATTTCAAGCTGTCAAACCACAAAAACCATAAAACCCATGGAAAGAATAGAGAAGAAGGAGTGAAAAACTCACAAATAAGAATGAAGAGTATGAGGCAATAGCAACAGCAACAACGACGACAATAGCAACAGCGACGGTGATGGAAGAACATGGTGGAGATGATAAAAGCAAAGAATAAAGGCCAGCAAAGATGGGAGGAGGGAGAAAATCGAGTGACAAGGTAATGGGGGGCTATGAGCTCTGACGCTGAAAAGTGAAAACTATTGCCCAGTGGATAGGGTTTTAAAATTCTAATAGACTTTTTAAAGCGCTTATTTAAAAAACTGCCATTAAAATTTACTTTCTTATAATTACAAAAAGGTCATCGTCATTTTTTACAATGTTTTTTCTAATGACTGCTATAAATTAGCGTCGTGAAAGCTCTCTTTTGTAGTAGTGATGGGTTCTTCTAATCTTTTTTGCAATCCATCTCCTTCTTTCTTTCTTTCTCTTTCCAATCTCTAACTTTTTATTTTGATTGGTATATTGATAAGCCTAAATATAAATTAATTTCATTGCATTGGTGGTGAGTGACTAGGTGGTGAAGAATATGAACAGGTTCTTTCAAATTTTTAGGTCCTGAACAGGTTTTCCGTAACCCGTTTTAACCCTTCCAGTTATTCTAACCCATTTACAATAGGTTTAAACGGGTTCATTATGGGTACGGGCTGCCCTGTACACATGTAATCTTAAATGGGCAGACCATGTGTTAGGACATGGGCTGCCCTGCTTGTTGCTTTGTCCCAATAGACATATGGGAGAACTAACGGTGATGACATTTTTGCTTTGTTTCGGAATATCCATGTATATTTTTGTGCTTAACATCTTATTACGGTATTCGGTGATTGAGTATTGACTGCTGATTACTGGTCAAGGGTCCACTGATTGAGGATTGATGATCAGCGATCACTGATCAACTAGTGACGTAAATCAATCGCTGTTTGTTTCCCGTTTTCAAAATTCATATTTTGATGGATGATCCACAGTCAGCTAGTTTAACTATTAATGCGACTAATCAATGGCTAATTGACGACTGGCTTCAGCTTCCCAAATAAACCGCCGCGTTTTTTCCCCTTGAGCTCAATGTAAATTGTAAATCCCACTGAGGTCACGCATATCTCCAATTCGCCAAACGGCTAAACCCCTTTCAGGCTCTAAAATAAAGATAGCGGGGCGTTAAAGAATTTGGTAATTCCTTCGAATTCTTACAATGGTCATCACTTCTTGGGACACTCTCCTTGTCTGAGTGCTGGCTCTCATGGAAGCCACTGTCGCGTCTCCTTCGATTCTTGGTTCATGTACTCTTAAGTTCCTTGTTCAATCACGATATGGACTTCACTCGCAGATGCCATTTGACGCCGTCCGTCGAACTCGAAACCGAGGTTTCAAATCGAAGTCCCGGAAAAGACCGCGAAGCATCCCGTCATTCGCGCCTGGCATTCAAGCTATTAATTTTTCCTCAAAATCCGTTCGCTCAGAAGGGGGACAGGAATCATGTTTGGAAGATTCTACTGGCTCTCGGTCGGTTAAGTTAGAAGACAATGGAAGCGTTTTAGCTATTGCAGATGTCAACCATGAAAATCCCGAGGGAACCTTTTCCAAGTCCATATTTAGACAACTTCTTTGTGCATTGTTTTGTTTTGCCATCAGTTTTTCTTCCGTCGGGGCAGTTCGAGTTCCTGCACTTGCCGCGCCTGTGGTGAACGTGGATATTGTGGAAAAGAAAGATAAGGGTAAGGACAAAAATGAGAATTTCAAGGGTCATGAGTACACTGACTGCACAAAGAGGTTGCTAGAGACGGTGTCAGGTTTACTAAGGAGCATGGAAGAGGCTAGGAAAGGTAATGGGAATATGAACGAAGTGCACCTGGCGATGAAGGCTGTAAGCCTGAAGAAGGGGGACTTGGAAAACGAGATTATGAGCAAGCTTTATGCGGAGGTAAAAGAGTTAAGGAGAGACAAAGGACGCTTGGAGAGAAGAGCTGGGCAGATTATTGATGAGATAGCGAAAGTTAAAGGAGATTATGATAAATTAAACCAGAAGGTGAGTAGGGACACAGAGAAGGCAAGGATGGAGTGGTTGGACGAGAGGATGAGAGAGCTGGAGAGGGATTACAATGAGATATGGGAGAGAGTCAGTGAGATAGATGACTTAATTTTGAGGAGGGAAACGGTAGCATTGAGTTTTGGTGTAAGGGAAATTTCCTTTATAGAGAGGGAATGTGAGCAGTCGGTGAAGAAATTTAAGCAGGAAGTTGGAAAGAAGGTTATGATAAGGTATATTATGATGACTTTTTGTCAGATACCTTAATAACCTGAATAAATTCTCAAATACGATTTTTTATTTTGCTTGTACCCTTGAGTTTTGCTATGCATGTAACATGAATATAATCAGATAACCAGGGTTGCAAATGGGCAACATGGTTGAATGACCCAGTTCAAAGGCTCATAGCCAATTAAGTCTATTCGAATCTCTTAACTACTTTATTTGGGCAAGCTTTGGTTTGAATTTTGCTGCAAATGGTGTTGTATGTTGAAGTGGAATTGGTGGTTATTCTCTGTAGTCTAGACATAATAATGTGGCCACTCTGCATTATATCATTTGGATTTACTTGCTCAAAGAACTTGAGAAAGAAGAGTTGTCTTCTTTGAAGTTTCCTTGTGATGGGAACTCATATCTTGAAATATCTAATTTGGGTGCTTGAGCATAACTTCCATTATTGTTTGAGCTGACAATGGATAATTAGGTCAATCAGGTCCACGTGCCCCATAATTTTGTAATTAATTATAATATAACTTGGTTCTGTTATGATGCATGTGAAGTTCCCCACCTAGTGGGATGAGACTTCTTCTTGTTGTATGATGCATGTGAAGTTGTATGTCCTTATGTGAACATTCATTCTGCGTTGCAGTTCTCCTGAAAGATCAATTACGAAGCTCCCAAAAGTTAATCTTCAGAAAGACTTGGAAACTGTGCAAAGAAGACACTTGGAGCAATTAATTCTTCCCAGTATTTTGGAAGTTGAAGATCTTGAACCATTCTTTGACCAAGACTCCATTGATTTGGCTCAACGATTAAGAAAAGGCCTAAAAGACTCGAGGGAGTTGCAAAGAAATTTGGAGGCTTTGATAAGAAATAAGATGAAGAAGTTTGGTAGGGAAAATCGCAGTATTATTTACTCACCGGAAGATGAGGTGGTGAAGGGTTTTCCTGAAGTTGAACTGAAGTGGATGTTTGGCAATAAGGAGGTTGTGGTTCCTAATGCCATCGGTCTTCATTTGTACCATGGTTGGAAGGAATGGCGTGAAGAAGCTAAAGCCGAATTAAAACGTAATTTAATAGAAAATGCTGAGTTTGCCAAACAATATGTGGTGGAAAGACAGGTTCTACATCTCTCTCTCTCTCTCTATCTCTCTCTTTCTGCGGGCGTTAGTGATATATCATTGAGCTTTGTGTGTTTCTTAAATAAAAACTTACTTGTTCACCCTTTTCAATAATTTAGATTTTAAAGGATGCCTTATGAGGTTATCAAAGCTTAAGGTATTTTGCATTAGCATATGACATTCAGTTTGCTTTAGTTGTACGTCGTTTTATTCTCTGTTCTCAGCAATACATTAATTTTTTCATAAAAGATGGACCAAGGGAGCTCCAGCAGTTATTTTCAATTTTATGATTGTAAGGCATCCCTGATGTGTCTCTTTATAAATTTGTATCCTTAGTAGATGGAATTACAATGGGCCTAAATGATATTAATTATTGCAGTTTCTCTTCTCTATTTATCATGGTTAAGAACGGATTTCTGGTAATGAAATATCCCCAACAGTATTCATGAAGTTTGCTTCTCTTCTCCACACAATATTAAAGCACTTCAATAGTTCTTATTCTTCTTCTTCTTTTGATCTGGTGTCTGTTTCTCTAATGGTTCAATTGAACACTTCTATTGGAGTCTCTCTGTCAGCCTTGACTCTTCTTTCACCATATACAAATTGTATATTGCAGGAACGGATTCTTACGGATAGAGATAGAGTAGTGTCAAAGACTTGGTACAACGAAGAGAAAAATAGATGGGAAATGGATCCAATGGCTGTTCCTTATGCTGTCTCCAAAAAGTTAATAGAGCATGCCCGGATAAGACATGATTGGGGTGCCATGTATGTTGCTCTCCGAGGGGAGGAGAAAGAAATTTTTGTTGACATAAAGGTTATAACTTTTTATGTGTTTCTTGTAGAAAGATCTTTTTGTTTTATTTCTTGCTTGTATGATTGAGGGTGAGCCTTGGAGCAACGATAAGGTTGCTGCCATGTGACTTAGAGGTCACAAGTTCAAATCCTCAAATCCTCGTTTTATTTCTTTTTTTCTTCTTTTTATAATTATCCATAATTTGTTGTTGTTTATAATTATGCGTAAGTTTCTTATCTTTGCCTTCATATTTCAGGAATATGAAATGATCTTTGAAAAATTTGGGGGTTTTGATGGGCTGTACATGAAAATGCTTGCCAGTGGCATTCCGACAACTGTTCATTTGATGTGGATTCCTTTCTCGGAGTTGGACATACGTCAACAATTTCTCTTGACATTACGGCTATCTCATCGCATTTTGAGTGGGTTGTGGAATTCTGGAATAGTATTGTATGCAAGAAATTGGGTCTTCAGGAAAATTAAGAATATAACTGATGATATACTGATGATGATAGTTTTTCCTATTGTGGAGTTTTTGGTCCCTTACCCGGTATCCTTGATCTCATGACTTGTTGCATGCCAGTTTGGGTTTGGATGCTTAGATTTTTGTGAAGAATCCTTTGATATTCTCTTCTTCTGTTTTAGGCACGGATGCAATTGGGGATGGCTTGGCCTGAGGAAATAGATCAGACAGTTGACACAACATGGTACTTGAAGTGGCAATCAGAGGCAGAATTGAATTTCAAATCCAGAAAAACAGATGATGCTCGATGGTTTATTTGGTTTTTTATTAGAACTGCTATATTTGGGTTCTTCTTGTTTCATTTGTTTCAATTTATGATGAGAAAAGTTCCAAGTCTTCTTGGTTACGGCCCTTTACGAAGAGATCCAAATGTGCAGAAGTTGCGACGAGTGGTATTTCTTTGTTCTTCTACCTGTGGCACGCCAGATGTTTAAATTGCTATCTGATTGCTCTCTTTCTTTTCGAAAAAATACCGTGCTTGGGTGTCTTCCACTTATTACCCAGTTTGATGTTGTATTTTGTCACCGTGTTGTTTTGAACTTGGTATCACTTAAAGTTAGCCTGAATATTTGCATACGGAGATAGAAGTATTGAGAAATTTAGCTTGCGTAGTTGAACTAATTGGCTTGAGTATTATGGGGAAGTTGTGGAATATGAAAAATTACTGAGTTCTGTTTACTAGAATGTCATTTCCACTTCTCATAGGGGTTTATCATATTATTCTTAATCTGTTTTTGTAATGTTCAAAACGTCTTGTTTTTTGGATTGCCGGAGTCTGGTAGGCATTATTGTTGCAAGGGTTAATTTCGGCATGGTTTTGTTTAGTTAAAAGTGATCATGCAGGAAAGGAATGAATAGAAAGGAAAAAAGTGCTTGTTGGCCCAGGGGGAAAAAAAAAACAAAGAAAGAAAAAAAAAGTGGTTATAAGGGGGGCAACATTAATTTGGTGATTAATTGTCAGTTTTCAAGCTCATGTTTTTGGATGGAATGTTGAAATTCTTCCCCCCCTGATGATTTCCTAGATGGCCTGTGAATAAAGTTTATGATGCACTGATTCAACTTTCACTAGGTAATATTGCATCATTGCAGAAATCATATGTGATTCAAAAACTCAGAAGAATCAAGCATAATAGAAAAGCTGGTTTTGATCCTATAAAGACAGCTTTTGAAGAAATGAAGGTTGGGACTCGGAAATTACTCTTTTTCACAGCTCTAATGTCATAAATTTTGTGGAGAAAATCTGTAATATCCATTGGTGGTATGCAGAGGGTGAAGAAGCCACCAATACCATTGAAGAACTTTGCTAGTATTGAGTCTATGAGAGAGGAAATCAATGAAGTTGTGGCTTTTTTGCAAAATCCTAGAGCCTTCCAAGAAATGGGTGCTAAGGCACCTCGGGTATGTTACTATCATGAATATTTATCAACATTGCAGGACATTGTTTTTCTTTTTAGGTTTTTTATTTATTGTAGCAGTAATATTGTGACATTGGCATTTTTTCTATTTTCTATTCATTAACTACTGGGTTCTCTCCTGCTAATTTGATGCTTATCATGAATGGTCCTGTTTTAAAGTCAAAGAAACCGTGAAATGGTTCAGAACACATGAGGAAACTCTTAATTTTTGGTTATGCTCAATGTTAAGAAAAAGTGGAATCGCAAGTTAATAATTCTTCCAATTTTGTTTCCTCCATCCACCCTCCTTTGTTCCAAAATTGAAAGGAAAAAGTTTCGAGGCACTTTTTGGATCCTTCTCTGTATGCTCCACATGGACATGGTGTAAGACTCTCAGAAAAATAGTTGTTAATGCTTCCATGGGTCATATTGATGATCCTGGTTATGAATACAAGTTACATTGCAAAAATTTTATAAGTTCGACTTGTCTTTTGGTAACAAAAATGTCTAGAAATGAGGCAAGATATCATAACCTTGTAGTTGAACGGTACTTGAAACTATTGGTAGTACTTTTGACCAAAAAAATAGACTATCAGTAGTACACATTCATCGCTAAACAGCTACATGCACCACTTGATTTAGAATTCCTATATCAGATTCTAACACCAACTCCTGGGAACTGTTTTACATTGCAGGGGGTTCTTATTGTAGGTGAAAGGGGCACAGGGAAAACATCTTTAGCACTGGCTATAGCTGCAGAAGCTAGGGTGCCTGTTGTTGAAATCAAGGCCCAACAACTGGAAGCTGGGCTGTGGGTTGGACAAAGTGCATCCAATGTTCGCGAATTGTTTCAAACAGCAAGGGATTTGGTTATCCTCTTTAGACCACCTTAACATTCTCCCCCTTTCTATCATACCTGCATTCATGAATGGAGATTTATTTATTTATTTCTGTTTAAAATAAATATATAGTTCACAGGAAGTTAGTTGGATATTATGAAACTAACGTGGAAAACTCCGATTTAGCTCAGTTGTTACCTTATTTTGATCTAAAGTATTCAGTAATGTTATTTTATTTCCATTATCTGATAGTTATGTCAATCAACAATTTTTTCGGGACTTGTGTTTTGTAACCTTTAATTGGAACATACATTATTTCAATTCTAGATGATCTGTCTTTTCCCTTTTCCTTATTATTTGCAGCTGTTTGTAGGCTCCTGTAATCATATTTGTGGAGGATTTTGACCTGTTTGCTGGTGTGCGTGGCACGTTCATCCATACCAAAAATCAAGATCATGAGGCTTTCATTAATCAATTGCTTGTGGAGCTTGATGGGTAACTATTATTTATGGGTTCTTTCATTGTTACACTGAGAAAAGATGTGGTACAAATGATTACAGTTGTATTGAATTTTAAGAAAACAGAAGAAATGAGTATAAATCCACCTAAATATTAGAACAACAATAACAATAGAACCTTATCCTACTAAGTGAGGTCGACTATATGGATCGCACAATGTTATTGAGCTCTATCAACGACCAAATCTTTGGATAAATTGTTAGTCGGCATCCCATACTAGAAGAGTAGATGAATTTATAGGCATTAAGGAAGATACTAGAAGCCCATTACACGTGGAACAACATTTAATCTATTTTTATTTTAATTCCCAACTGTGAAGTGGCATTACCTCAGGCCCTCATTTTTTTAGTCCCCCCCCCCCCATACAACAAAAAGCTTCACGAAGTAAGATTATGAATGTCAAAGGATGATGACAGGCTTTACTAAAAGAAGCTAAGAACGGGGAAAAGCAAGACAATATCAATGCTTCCTGATCTTTCTGCATATCCAATAGTGACCTCCCATTGATAACGGATGCAAAGGATAAGGAATTCTTGGGGGTCCAGTCAAAATGTAAACCCCGGAAAAGCAGTTGTTACCTATGAAAGACTATCCAGTTGATTCGCTTTTCCAAATGAGGAACTCAGCTCCCTAAGCCAGTAAATAAAAATTACTGGAATGCATGGGAGAATAGGGTTAAATGTTGTAAGCTTGTCAACACACCTGAAAAAGACAAAGAAAAAGCTACTAGCTCTAATCTGTAATAACTATGTGGTGAATTAAAATTCCAATTTCAAATGTTATGTTTTGTAGATTTGAGAGACAAGATGGGGTTGTTTTGATGGCTACTACGAGAAGTCTTAAGCAAATTGATGAGGCCTTGCAGAGGCCAGGTCGCATGGATAGAATATTTCATCTTCAAAGACCAACTCAAGCAGAGAGAGAGAGAATATTGTACTTGGCTGCAAAAGAAACCATGGATGACCAACTCATTGATTATGTAGATTGGAAAAAGGTTTGTTCTTGTAAATTCTTGTAAATTCTTGTATGGGGTTATGCATATCTAGGTTTCCCCCTTAATTAATTTTCTTTGATCGTTCTTGCTTAATATTATGAATGTGCTTGTACTCAAACTGATGCTTAGAAACTCTTTTTCCCCACACTTTTTTTTTTAATAACAATAAGACTTTGTTGAGGAATATAGTACTGAATTGGACAATTAGAAATTGTCATAATGCAAAGAAAAATGCCGAAGTAAAAGATTAAGGCAGTGGGTGCTTAGAGGCTACTGACATTGCTCTTTTTTTTCTTTCTTTTTGGCCAAAGCTACTGACACAACTGAAGAATAGAAAAAATGTGAACAATTATACTAATGAAGGATACTTAGACTGGACTGGTTATTGTACTAGCCTAAGCCGAGAGAAAATGAATATATCCATGTTTTATAAAAGCTCATCTTGCTGTCCTTAAATTCTTCTTGCCATTATCTTATTCCCCGGTTCTTACCATTTTTTTTTCCTTACATCTGGTTTCAAAATGTTGTTATTCGATTTTTCCTTTATGAACTAAAAGATTGTTGTTTTCAGGTTGCTGAGAAGACAGCTCTTTTACGTCCTATTGAACTTCAATTAGTTCCTGTGGCTTTGGAAGGAGGTGCCTTCCAGAGCAAATTTCTTGATACTGAAGAGCTAATGAGCTACTGTAGTTTCTTTGCGGTAAGAATTTTACTTTATTTACTCGTATGTTTTTTTGCTAATGTTTCTCTATTTTTTCTCTATGCATTTGTGTATGGTTATATTGCATAAATATAAGGAAGGGAAAAGAGATTTAAGTTGCGATAATCCTTTATGAGCTGGCTAGTTGGGTAAAAGGGGAAATGACAGCCCTATCTTCCTCATATGGGTTGCCTTTTTTTTTTGGGGGGGGGGTCTCTAGCCTCTCAAAAATCTTTTCTGCATTTACTTTTACTATTTTAAACGCTAGAATCCATTAATGCTTCCATTTTTGCGCATGGTTGCTAGACCTCTTGCTGAAACAGTTCACCACTGTCACACTAGCCTATTATCTGTCCTTACGGAATAGAAGCCAAAAAGAGCAGGAAAGAATGAGTGATGTTCCTTGCAGCGTCTCCATTTAGCTGTTAAAGTTGCATCATCCAAGAAGTTCTCTGTCATTTTTGCATGTTTCAAGTGTTTTCTTTATTCTTTCGGTTTTCCTTTTTCCTTTCATTTTCAAGTTATTGAATTGTCATTTTCAGCATGTTCCATCTTCTTTCTATCCTGTTCTGTTGAATCTGTAATTTACTCATGCTTTTAAAATCACGTTTTGTCTATTTTAGTTTCGTGTGCTTTATCCTGAAAGAAAAGGAATATATTTATCACCTTTTCTTAGACTTTCAGTTCTATGATCCCCAAATGGGTGCGCAAGACCAAAGTTGCCAGGAAGCTTAGCAAAATGTTTGTGAATCATCTGGGACTAACATTGGCAAAAGAAGATCTGCAGCATGTTGTTGACTTGATGGAACCATATGGTCAGATAAGTAATGGGATAGAGCTTCTGACCCCCCCATTGGATGTGAGAAACTATCTTGTCCTAGAGCTTATAGTGTGGTCAACTTATTTTCTACTTTGTGATACAACTTTTCTGAGTTTCTTCTGTTTGTAAGTTTGAATGCAATAGCAGTCCTAGTTTTCTTCTTTTATGGATGTCTGAATCTAACTTTTATCACTTGCTTTGAGAAATGTGTTAATAAGGAGGTTCTTTGATGTGTAGTGGACAAGGGAGACCAAGTTTCCTCACGCAGTCTGGGCTGCTGGTCGTGGTCTTATTGCTCTTCTCTTACCAAATTTTGATGTTGTGGATAATTTATGGCTCGAACCTCTCTCATGGCAGGTTAGTTGTGCTAATTTTTGGGCTGCTTTTGAAATTTGGTGAAGGATTATATGCGAGTTTTAAGTAACACTTTTAAATAATTTTTTAGTATCACTCTGCTTCTTACTGGATGAAATGTAGTAGCTTTTGGTGAAGTAAATGATTCCTGTATCTTCTAGGTGTCTAACCTGCAGGCAAGATTTGCATTTGATGTTTTATATGAGACTGAGATAGCATGGGATACCTAAATCTTACATTTCAGTATGATGGATTGCTCAAACGAGTTGGTTAATCAAAGAGAATGTAGCCGTAGGGGTTTAATTTTGAATAGGGATTTGAGGTCTGAGAGAACACGAAAGAATTTGACTTGCTCATGATGGAGGGTCCTTAGGCCCTTAACTGCTAGAGAGTGTTTTCACTGTTCTATATTATCTTTTATTCTGTTGTTTCCATTTGTGTTTGGTGTGTATAGTGCTGCTGTAAACCAGTCTTCACATTCACAGAATCTTTTCCGTTATCTTGTTAATTCCATTTCAGAGAAGCCCATTAGTGTGTCTTTGGTTCTGGTTTCCATCAATTTCTTGTTTGAGTTTCCTATTTGTTTACGTTCAGATTTTCCCATTCAATTGCTTGCAAGATGAGCACAAAATATATCGATGCTCAATCTTGAATGGCAGTATGAATTGTGAAGTTAGTCAGCAATGATTGTCATGTCGCTGATTTCTGTGATTTGGGAGGCTGATCGAGTGGTAATTGATTGAAGGCTATACAAATTTAACTCCACATGAATAATGACAGATTCTTGCCTCCTTGTTGTACAGGGAATTGGATGTACAAAAATCACAAAGGCAAGAAATGAAGGTTCGGTTCATGGGAATTCTGAATCAAGATCATATCTTGAGAAGAAACTTGTGTTTTGTTTTGGATCATATGTTGCTTCCCAAATGCTTCTTCCTTTTGGGGAAGAAAACTTCCTGTCTTCTTCTGAGATACAGCAGGCACAAGAGGTCGGACTTGACACAACTGTGATTTTTGCTGGTTTTCAGATTTTTGGTTCTTTGGGCAATACAATTGCTTTTACCAAGGTTTTTGTTATGAGCATAAAACAACTGATCCCTTTCTATCCCTTAGCAGATAGCTACACGAATGGTTATTCAGTATGGGTGGGGACCAGATGACAGTCCTGCAATTTACTACTATCGTAATGCGGTATGCACCTTTCCTACATCCAACTGAGGTGTCCCTGCAGAAGAGACGGGTTTTTGTTCATCTAAGTTGTGTGACATTTAATTATTAGATTAAAACTTTTAATGGGTAATATTTGAGACAAAAATTTACCATATGATTTGGACATGAAGGGAAATGAAGATTTTTTTCCCCCTAAAAATCAATATCAACTTTTATTATAATCAAGAGATAATGATTTTATTCAAATCAGGACCTATTTTTGGGCAAGAAACCATTATGATACTAGTATGATTGCCCAATTTCTAACCGTCCTCAAATATTAAGAGCAGGAGGACGGAATCTCCTTAAACTCTAACACCTTTGTTGGTCATTCTTTACTGAATTCTAAATTATCCTAATCATGATTTAAATCCATAACTCTCAAATTATTAATGCAAAAGATGCATATATAATTCCAGTTAGTTCATTTGCCCCAGAAAACTGAATAGCTCCATCTGTTTTTTTCACTCTATTTGGCCATCCATTTTAAAGTCCAATGGACCATTTGTGCACAGTAGCATGATTAGATTAATCTTTTTCAAACTGTGAATAGGTTACATCATTGAGCATGGGGGATGACCATGAGTATGTGATGGCGAGCAAAGTTGAAAAGGTACCTGTATGTTAGTACAACTGTACAAGGGCAACTGATTGTCTGAAAAGGCTACCTAACATCGTTTTGTCATCTTCTTAGATGTTTGACTTAGCATATCAAAAAGCGAAGGAAATGCTGCAGAAAAATCGTTCAGCACTTGAAAAAATTGTGGAGGAATTACTTGAATTTGAAATTCTGACTGAAAAGGTAAGGGCTTCTTCTAGTACATCTGAACTATCAGTTTGGGTTATATTTTGGAGAATTCCTTGTTTTTTTATGTCAGTTTCATAGTTTATTTGGGTATTTTATCAGAAAATCTCCTTTAAAGTGTCAAGTTATTAAAAAAATATGATCTAAAATACTAGGCCCTATTTAGAATTAAAGCTGACCTCATCTAGTGGGATAAGTCCTGTTGTTATTATTGTTATACTGTGTCCTCTTGATTTTATTCCCTCATTTCCTTTTGAAATCTGTAGTTAATTTTGGGTACTATGAAATATCTTCTGCTGTTTAATGACACATTTGCTAGCTTCCTAGCAGGATTTGAGAAGAATTGTTGAAGACAATGGGGGAATCAAGGAGAAAGAACCGTTTTCCCTTTGTGGACTTTATGATGAACAGGTACATCATGCATGTCAATTACTGATAAATATCCGTGGGGAAAGGGAATAAAATTCTGAACCCATTGTCATGTATGACAGTTTTGGATCTGTCAGTTATTTTCTATGGTGCATAATGGCCGTGACTAGTTTGGCTTAAAGTATTATGCCCGTTCATGGATTCAGACCGTTGACGAATTATACAACATAGTGTCCTTTTTATATCTCCATATATCAGGAACCGGCCCCTAATGCTTGGAGAAATCAGGGTGGGAATTTTTTTGCTTATGAGTTGAGTTGATTTCTTCAACCCAAAATTATCGTTATAGAAATAAAAATAAAAGGTGAAAATTCTCAAATAACAAATTGCAATTCAAACATGTATATTATTGTCCTACTTTCATCTGCACGGATATCGTCATTATAATATAACTTCATAGGGAGTAAGACTATTCATAAATCATGAACAATAATATAATTTTGGCTCAAGTTTCATGCAAATTATTTTTTTTATTCATTCAATATTTTTCTACACATTTTAGAAGGATTGAATGTTTGAAAAATATGTACAATTTTTTTAAGCTACTATTTATCCCATGGGGAAAAATATTTGAATTGTTTTTATAGATGATATATCACCTAGAGAATTTTAATTCATAGCAATTTTTCCTTTCTTTTCCAGTCAACACCTGGCAGCTTGCTTGAAATAGGAAGTACATCTGGAAACAGTTCTCTTGCAGTAACCTAGATCAGTGGAGTATTTTTTATGGGTCACAGTTTGAGGTGATTCCCCAGTTTATGTGTAGTTTGAGCGTGTTTGGCGTATGATGCAACATGCGTATTTTGCCCGTGTCGTGTTCTCAATCGGAAGAGAAGAGGTAGCATTTTTCCTTCTCAGCCATAATTTCCTGATGTTCTTAATAGGAAAATCTCAATAGTCAACAGTGCCTTTTGATACTGTAAATCGTTTATTGCACCGATATTCTATTTATTCTACATGTTTCTTTGAAGTTTGAATACAAACATGTCTGCGGAGCTGGAAGGTGTCAACCTCTAGTCCTTGGGTTCTGGCCGTTAAAAAAGGAAAAAGATCCTAGTCCTCAAGGAACAATTTGTAATTAATTGCAAGGTACTGCTTTATTATTGAAAATGAAATATTAAAACAAAATGTCTTGCCAAGCAAGACAATCGAAAGTTTACCTCTATTTTTTGTCGTACGAACACTCAGACTATGGAAGGTGAAAATCATAACTACGAACATCTGTTCAAGGGTATGGTTGGTACGAAGGAAATGGAGGGTTAGGGGGAGGAAAAATTTTAGTGAGCTCGTTTTAAAAAATTGAAAAAGTAGGGTTATAAAATTTTGATGAAGAGAAAATATAAGATAAAAGAATTAAAAAATTAATTAAAAAGTTTTGACTTCATTTTTTGAACTATTTGAAATGACCTCATTAAAATTTTTTTCTCTTCTCTCTCTTATTTCTCTCGTACCAAACGGATTCTAAGAGAGAAATGTTGCTAAACCATAAAAAAAAAAGAAAAAGTGATGATAGGTCTGTATGTTTGCATTTTAACTGACTGCTAGTGTGAAAATGAGCAATATTGACCTTAACAAGGAAGAAGAGAGGGAAGTATTATTTTATTTAATTGTGTGACATCCTGGCATGAGATACTTAAAAAAGCGAGTGCAGGGAAGGCAGGCGGAGAAAATCTTTACAGATAAAATTTTTTCTTGAATTAGAGGGGGCCGCACCAACGAGCAAGATTAATTAGCACAAAAGCATGGGGTTACGAGCAAGATCAATTTGCGACGTTCTATTTATGGGAGAGTTTTTGTGTCACTAACTTATAAAGTTATTAACTTACAGATACAAACTAGTTGCTAGAGAAGGCTTATGATGGGAGAGGAGGTGAAGATTGGCTTTTCCTTGGTTTCTTCGTGTGTTCCATTTTGACAGGTGCTTTTTCTTCTGGGTTTTGCCTCTCCCAGCATGGTCACTATGTCCCTCATGGATGGTCTTTCCTTCGGAAGCTTTGCCGTACAGAGAAGCGCAATTCGGAGCACGAGAAGCATCTCTTCTTGGACATGCCTGCACCTACCCGCTATGGTGGGATCTAGTGCTTCTTCCAACCCTCCGTTGCTTCTTTTCTTTCTTACCCATGCAACTATGTCTCCACAGTCTTCGAATGACACGTCTAAAGGCTTTTTCCCTGTTATGAGCTCCAGAAGCACTACGCCGTAACTGTATATGTCGATTTTCTCGTCCACTTTCAGAGTATATCCATATTCTAAGAACCAACACAACAGCCGAGAAATTAATGTGAGCATAATGTTAATTTTCCTCATTACATTATAGGACCGCAGATTTCACACTAGTAAAAGACGAACATATTGAAAGCTAAGAAATTTTTAGGTTTGATTGGAACGTTATTCTTTTTTTCAAAAAAAAAGTGACAGAAGTAATTTGTGCGCGTTCAAGTCAAGAATTTATTCATCTATCTAGATCAAATTACGTTCCTCCGCCTTTTGATGATAATTTAATACTGACCTGGGGCGATGTACCCGTAAGATCCCGCCACCATTGAAACAGTCTCATTCTTGTGGATCAGCATTTTTGCTAATCCGAAATCTGCTATCCTCGCCTCCAGATTTGCGTCAAGGAGTATATTGTTGGACTTGATGTCTCTGTGAATAACTGTGGGGTGACAATCATGATGGAGGTAATGGAGGCCTTGTGCAACTCCAACTGCTACGTTATACCTGGAAACCCAATCTACCAGTAACCTTTCTCCTTGCTTTCCATGTAGTGCTGTCCCAAGATTCCCATTGGGCATGAACTCGTACACCATCATCACATCCCTTTCGTTGTGAACATACCCCAACAGCCTCACAATATTCCTATGCCTCAGTCTCCCCAGCAGATTCACTTCTTTCAACACATCATTACCATCTTCTATGTCTGCCCCTGACCTCCATAGTTTCTTCACTGCTACTGTTACATGAGGTCTATGAATTTCAGCTTTATACACAATGCCAGTGCCTCCCATGCCTATAATATTTGTTTCCTTAATGCATGTGAGAATCTCGCTGCTTGTGAAACTCATCCTTTGAAATGCTACTAATCTCCAAGGCCATTCTTCATTGCTGTTTTTGAACCAATCATGGACGAAACTGTTGTATAAGTACCATTTATTGTACAACCATCTGCCCCCAACATATGCAATGCCCAGAGACACAATTACTGAAATTCCTGTGATAAAACCAACCATAATATGCTTTGTGCGCGAGGTCCTTCGCTCGCTTCCCTGAATTGATCTCTGAGAACATGGAGGAAGAATGCCTCCGCAGAGGTTGGTGTTGTTTGTGAGATCGTTAGGATTTATGGTCATCAAAATACCATTGGAGGGCACTGGACCCTCGAGCTTGTTGTAGGATAGGTTGATCGTTTCAAGAGCTGGGGAGAGGCCAAGGTTTTCAGGTATCCGGCCGTAAAGTGCATTGTGGGAGAGATCAAGAGTGGCTAAGGTGGGCATGTTTGCAATTGATTTCGGGATTTCCCCAGTTAATTGGTTGTTCCCGAGGCTCAAATGGACTAGTTTTTGGCAAGAAGCAATGCTTTCTGGGATGTCTCCAGATATAAGGTTGTTTGAAAGATCCAGCACGGAGAGAGAGATGCAATCCTGGAACTCACCTGGTATATTGCCTCCCAAGTTGTTGTTGGATGCAATGAAGGTTTGAAGGGAGGGAATAGAGAGAATTCCAGAAGGTAGAGATGATTCAAGGTTGTTCCAGGATACATCAATGAAAGAAAGTGAAGCGGATGAAGTGATATCTATTGGAATTTGGCTGGTAAGATTATTCTTGGCCAATTCCAGCCTTTGAAGGTTTGGGAGTTTTCCGAAACCAATTGGAATAGTCCCAGATATAAGATTGTTATGAATGCGAACACGTGCCAGAGATGAACAATTGAGATCCCGCTTGGAATGGAACCGGAGAAGGAATTACTGAAAAGTATCAGTTTGGTGAGATTTCCAGAAGCACACAAACCTCGCGGAATTTCTCCTGATAATGAGTTAGAAGACACATCCAACCACTCCAGTGGAGAGTTCTGTCCAAGGTTCGCCGGCAAAGGGCCTCGTAAAGAATTTTTCCATAGCTCAAGTACTTTTAATTTCTTCAGTTCCCCAAGCTTTTCTGGTACCAAACCTGTTAGTTTGTTTCTCATGACATTTAATAGCTGCAAGTTCTTCAGCTCAGCAATTTCCTCTGGGATCTTCCCTGAAATCTTGTTATCGGACAAGTCCAGATACTCCAATGACGTAATGTTGCCAATCTCAGGCGGAATCCTTCCTTCAAACTTGTTCTTGTACAAGAAAAGTGTATTAAGCCTTTTCAACTTACCCAATTGTGGTGGAATCTGTCCACTGAGACTACTCACAGCCAAATCAAGGTACTGGAGATTGGTGAGGTTGCCAAACTCTGAAGGGACCTCTCCTTCAAACTCATTGTACCCAAGAATTAGTGTCTCTAGAGAAGCAAGTTCTCCAAGTTCTCCTGGAATCCTCCCTGTAAAGTTATTCCCTGAAAGCCCAAGAAATTTGAGCTTCTGTAAATTCCTGAAACTAACGGGGACTGGACCTTCGAGGTAGCCCCCACGAAAATCAATGCTTTCGAGCAACGTTGCATTTCCAAGATCCTCTGGAAGAAAACCCAAAAAGTTATTACTTGACGCGTTAACTAGTCTCAATCCTGCGGCATTCCCAAGACCCGTAGGAAAGCTGCCAGTGAAGTAGTTCTGGCTCACATCAAAGCTCTTCAAGGAAGTGAGATTGGACAGTGATTTTGGCAATGAAGAAGCGAAATTGTTGCAACTTACGTTGAAAACAGACAGACTAGAAAGTGCTCGGATGTGGTCTGAAACACGACCACTAAGGTTCATGTTGGAGAGGTCGAGACTCTCTACGAAGCCTTTAGAGTTGCACCAAACCCCTGTCCAATTACAGTGGGGTGACCATGAACCGTTACGGCTCAGATTGGTTGGTGGCTGCCAATTCTTCAGATGCTTCATTGGATCAACGAGACTGGATTTGAATGAGAGAAGTGTTGACAATTCATCACTAAATGCAGATTGAGCTCCCTCGGCAAAAACAAGAGAGAGGCCAATGAAACAGTGGAATAAGAAGAAGGGCTGCATTTTAAGAGGGTCTTCGTTTTCCTGTGAGTTGGTTCCACTTAAGAGTATAGCATTTTGCAGAGCAGGGAACAGAGGAAGAAGATGGAGTGCTGGGAGTAAATATAACTAGAAGTTCTGAGAGACAGATTAATTTATAGTTAAAGGCAATGATAGACCAGTTTAACGGATCTACGTGGGCACTTGGGATCCGGACCTGCTAATCATGTGCAACTGATGACTGTCAATCTTTGGACTCATTGGAAATATCCTCGACATCATAACATGCACAGAATGTGTTCCAGAGCTGCTTGTTCTTATAATAAGGTCAACACAAGTGAGCCATTTATAACTGATTTTTAAATTTTAATCTTTTTTCCTTAACCCTTTCTTTTTCGTTTTTTCTCAGGCTTTATTATCAAACTTTCAGGGAGTATTCTCATATTTCTGCTGTATTGATGCAGAAATAACATCATATTACTCAGACGTTGTCTTTTTCCTTCATCATGATATCCGAGACAAAGCATTCCATATTAAGCACATCACTCCGTTCAACCCATAAATGCCCCATCTCAAAGTTACGTTGGTGAACCAAAGATGACCCCGTTTTGAGCGATCTGTTGGCCTTATTTACTATGGAGATAAAAAAAGAGACAGTTTGGAACTTTCTGTTTAAGTGTGACAGAAGAATAGTGCTTTAAGGGAATGTGTTTAGTAGCAATCATTGTCTGTGGCACCAAAGCCCATTCCCTATTATCAAGCAATTGCAATATCCCATTGCTTGGCCACCACATGGGCACATCTGGCTCTTGTGCAATTATTGTAGTACTGTTATCTTTCTTTTCATAAAAAAATTTGAGTGCGTAATGTGAGAGAAGATATTGAACTTTTCTTTTTCAATCAGAGGTTAATAATTTGATCCATAACCAATGAAAAGGGAAAGGCTGGATGCCATGTGAAACGGGAAACTTCCAGAGGGAGGAACTTGGTGCCCAACTACTCATTATTGGAAAATGGGAATGATTTTAGCAAAG